TGTTCATTGCTTCCAAGCTTAAACCAGTTTGTGGAGATTAAAACAAACATATATGTTTGGTATTGATTGACATTAGGTGAAAGTAAGAAATAATAAATATCAAAAGGGTTTTTGTGAATATTATGATAATTTTAATAAATGAGTCAATTGAAACTAGACTACCATGGAAAACCTGAAAACACTGAACGGCCGTTTCGTTCTTTTATGGGATTCAGCAATGTTCAACCACGATCTCGCCCCGCGAGATTCGAACCCACGACCGATTGGTCACACGCGCAAGCGCTTAACCATTACACTACTGAGCCGGCCAACATCCAATGGTGTTAATGTTTGACTTCAACCAATGGTAGTCTAGCTTCAATTAACTCATGATTTCAACCACTGAATTATTAAATAGTTACTTCTGTCTATTTTAGTTTATTCAATAGTATTCAATAGTATAAACCTAAATTTATGTGTAATAGGCTACCTACGACGTTTCAATCTTAAAGTGGACATGACATTCTTAAATCACTGAGATCACAAAGAGCTCTTGTTAATTAAGAGAAAAAATAATTTTTCAAACCAAAAAGGGTTTCCTGGAGTTTTAGTGAGAAGCCGTGACCAGTGCAGTTCAACCGGGTGCATTGTGAGATCGTAACTCACTGATGACAATGATGGATGTGTCGCTCAATTTTGTGGTTTAGTTGAAGTTAGAGAATAACACCGTTGGATGCTGGCCGGCTCAGTGGCTTAGTGGTTAAACGTTTGCACGCGAGACTGATAGATTATGTGTTGGCATCCCGTGAGGTGGTGTATCGTAGATGCGCACTGCTGAAGAGTCCCACAACAAAACGAACTGGCCTTCCAGTGCTTCCAGGTTTTCCATGGTGGTTTAGCTTCAATTGACTCATGATTTCAACTATTGAAAAAAAGGTTCTTTTAATTTCATAATATAGTCAATGATAATTTTATACATTGTTTCTTATTAAATCTACATTGACAGATAGAAAGAAAGAAAGAAAGAAAGAAAGATAGATAGATAGATAGATAGATAGATAGAAAGAAAGAAAGAAAGAAAGAAAGAAAGAAAGAAAGATAGATAGATAGATAGATAGATAGATAGATAGATAGATAGATAGATAGATAGATAGATAGAAAGGGACTGCAAACTATGGAGAAAACATTAATAAGGTATATTATCAATCAACTATCGATTAGTGAAAAGCTAAAAAAAATCGTTTAATTATTATTATCTAATATACAGTATTGATTATCAATTTATTACATAATATAATTTATATTATATTATCAGTATTTTATATCTATCGAAATAATTTAAATTAATGAATTAAATTAATTAAATAATCCGATATCAATGATAGTTATCATTATAATGTATTCATCATAGAATAATACTTTTTCCGATACGTCTATTGGAAACCTAAGATCATGACACAACTATTTCGTTCTTAAACAATAACCTTTACCAATAGTTTATATTGACAACCTCACTAAGGACTAAACTTAAAACTTTCATAAAACATAGTATATATGCATATTGATTAGAATCATTTTGACGTGATTCAATACCGCTTATGAATTAAAGTAAACCCCAAAAGATACAGTTTAAATGAACCTATTTCTACAGGAAACCCTGAATCCGGGGTTTCGTGCTACTTGGCACTCGTCAGCAAGATGTACCTGTAATCTTGAGGGAACTGGTGCTCCCTGGCGGATTCGATCCCGTGTCACCCAGCTTCACAGTCAGAGACGTTACCACTGAGCTAACCTATTTCTTTTTAAATGATCTTGTGATCTTATAAGTGATTTCAATTTCCTTGCGATTTAACCCAAATGTTTTAAATTATTATTGATATTTACTGATCTGAAAGTAAATGTTTACATTTAAATGTTTGCAAATTTTGTTATTTTTGTCACGCTTTTTGATAAAACAAAATAAGAGGAAATTGATTTAGTGTTGAAAGCCCTTTGAAAGGCGAGAAACCTTCTGAAAATACATTGATTAATTAATATTCTCTAGAAACTTCCAACTACAGAGGCATCACACCACTATCAGTACAAGGAAACGTTTTCAAAAGAGTGTAACTGAATCGGATGAAAGATTCAGTAGACTCACAACTTCGAGATCAACAGGCTGGATTCCGTAAAGATCGGTCTTGCGCAGACCGAATTGTGACACTACGGATCAATGTTGAACAATCAATTAAATGGAACTCGTTACTTAACATTAAATTCCTTGACTATGAGAAAGTATTTGACAGTGGAGATAGAAGAACATCATAGAACCTTCTTCGACACTATGGTTTACCCAGATAAATTGTCAATTAATACGACGGACTACAGTGAAAAGTGTGAATGAAGAACAGATGACAGATGCATTTCAAGCGAAGACTAGAGTCAGACAATTTTGATTACTCTTCCCCTTCCCCTTTCTTCTGGTGGTTGATTGGATTATAAAGGTCTCCACATTTGAGAATAAACGTGGAATACAATGGAAATCTTGGATGCAACTAGACGATTTGGCCCTGTTATCCTATGCACACGAATAAATGTGGGTCGAGACAACCAGTGTAGCGACAGCCTCTACAGCAGTAGACCTCAGCATACACAACGGAAAAAGCAAGATCCTCAAATACAACATGAAGAACACCAACACAACCACTCTTGATGACGAGAATCTGGACGAGGTGGAAAGTTACATTTATCTGGATAGCAACACCGATGAACGTGCAGGATCTCATGCAGATGTAAAGACAACGATTGGAAAAGCAAAGACAGCATTCCTACAGTTGAAGAACATTTGGAACTCAAAACAATTGTCACCCAATATCAAAGTCAAAATCCCCAATACAAGCGTCAAGACAATCCTAGTGAACGAACTCGAAACTTGGCGAACTACTACGACCATCATCGAAAGGTATAGATATTTATAAAAGACTGTCTACGAAAGATGCCCAATGTCCATTGGCCTGATACTATCAGCAATGGCCTACTGTAAGAGAGAACAAACCAACTTCCAGCTTAGGAGGAAATCAGGGAAAGACAATGAAAGTGGATAGGACATACATGACGGAAAACATCAAAGTGCATCATGGGGAAAGCCCTAACTTGAAATCCTGAAAGGAGACGGAACAAAGGAGGACCAGAGAACACATTGCGCCAGGAATTGTAAACAGACATCAAAAAAATGTGCAGCAAACAGAAAGAAATGCCCAGTGAAAAGTTGGTTAGGGAATCCTAGTTGGTGGCCTATGCTCCACGAGCGGTAACAAGTTTAAGTATGTAGTAAGCAAGTAGGACACTCCTTAGTGGATTCTAGAAAACGAAGGGTTATTTCTTCGTCTTTTTGAATGGACAATCATTGATTTTAGGAATTTCACTGATTAAAATCATGAGTCATTTGAAGCTTCCAGGTTTTCCATGGTGGTTTAGCTTCAATTGACTCATTATTTCAATCAGTGAAATTATTGATTTTGTTATTAATTTAGATGTTTTTCGGAATGTTATTTTATGAATCGAATGATTTATCAACTACAGTAAGAATAGTGGATACAAGGTGAAACTCAATCATCAAGAATTAAAAAAGGTTGTTGTATGAATTAAAAATCTGCAGTATTATATAATTTATTAACAAATTCATTAAAGTCATATACTCAATCATAGAAGATCTACTGGCATTCAGATTAATTAATATGAGACCCCTTGGAAGATTTTGATGTTTCAGCTAAAAGTGAGATACGCTTAGCTGTCGAGAATCGAAAGTTTTCACTCATGACTTTCAAATGGGAAAAACTGTTTCTCTCCAATCTCAAGTTATAATTTCACAAGGTTTGAAAACTACCGAATTAGAATGTAACATCTGCTTGACACAACCTAGCTTTGACGGTAGTTTATTGAAGGAAGTCAATCAAAAACCCTAGAGCTTGATTGGCGCTGGATTGGCACTCATCACAACAATATACTTATATGAACAGTTAAAAAAATGTAATATTTATTTTAGACCCCACAGGTAGCATCATTTCTTTAATAGTCAAGGTACTTCTCTTACCGATAACTGCTAACTGGCACGGAACCTAAGATCACAGTTTTCTCGTGACCACTTCCAACCATAATACACGAATATATAATGCATACAATCATAAGTTACCTAAACAAGCGGCTTCATCTCCACTTGACTAATAGGATACGATCAGAACTAAAAAGGCAAGACTAATATGATACTGGTCACTACTACTCACTAATCGAACTATACACTCGAGATTTCTATGATTTTTTAACTAACATCATTTCAAGACGGAAACTTCCCTCAAAATGTACACAAGTCTTTTTACGAACTGTCTACTTCTATAACATCCCTTACTTATGAATCATTCAATATACAAAAAAACTGTAATATAGACAATAAATCAATGAATAATACTTGTTATATAAGTTTAATATAATTATTATTAACCAGCTAAAGATTTATATAATATCTCTTGAAGCGAGTCACGAGTGAGTATATGTTAATTAATATCATAGTAATTTTTTTAATAGTTGAGATCATGAGTCAAATGAAGCTAGAATACCATGGAAAACCTGAAAGCACTAGACGGCCATTTCGTCCTATTATAGAACTCCTCAGCATTGTGCATACACAATACCACCTCGAGAGATTCGAACCCATGACATTCAATCTAAACTGACCATCATTCAACGGTGTTAATGCCTAACCTCAACCAATCCACGAAATTAAGTGACATATCCACCATTATCTTCAATGAATTACTATCTCACAACAGACTTGGTTGAACTCTACTAATCATGGATGGGCACTTCTGAAGAGTTCTACAATAGGACAAAACGGCTATTCAATGCTTCCAGTTTTTCACAAAACCCTTTCTAATATTTATATCACATAATGAAATTTCATTAACAATCAATACAAACAAAACAAAAAAACACAATAAGATTAAATGATTGATTAAATCAATAAATTAATATAAATAAAAACTTACCAGTTAATAATAAACCTAATTGACATATACGATGTATATTTAATTTCCATAAAAAATTTAAATAACACCCAATAAATGATAAAAGAAATGCTAAAAAAAATAAACTACAACAACTGATAATTAATAATATTAAACTATATCTCCATGCTATATGTGGTATATCAAAAAATTGATAATAACCACAATTAGTTTGTATATGAATAAGGGATGATTCGAAATTATGTTGTTTTATATTTAATTTATAATTAATTGGTTGATTAAAAAATAATTTTGCTTTTAATGAATTTTCTGATAAAATATCTGTAATTAGATTTGTATATACTGGATAAATACAACGACGAAATAAATTTAATGTACTTGATATATCTTTATAATAATAAGTAGTAGGAATAGTAGTATATTTTATATGATTTTGTTCATGAATAATAATTTTATCATTAGAAAAAATTTTACCATCTAACCAATATGGTAATAAACAACCAATGGTACATAACATAGCTGTTATCCATGTTAAAATACACCATATTAACCATATATAATTCATAATTTCATGATTATATTACTTATTTTATATAAGTGTATAATATATATATATTATTATCATTATTATTAGTGATAGTCACAATTTTAATTAATCAATATTTGTGCTTTTCAAAATCAATAATTTTTTTTTTGTTATTTATTATTTTTTGATAAATGAACTAAAGTAACAAAAAAATATTTTACTATTTATGAACATACTTCTTTCTATCTTGTTTACCTATATATATATATATAATGTATATGATGTATGTTGAAAAAAGGTAACTATTTTTTGTTTGTATGTCAGTAGTTGTTATGTACGTGTATATATATTGATATTAATTATGAGAGAATTCACCAATCAGATTTAATTTGATTGGCGTCTAAATTAAAAATGATTAAGAATTAACCAATGAAATTTCGACTTTTGATCCGTCAGTAAATATATATATATTTACGTATAAGCATAATTACAAATGAATTCAAAATAGAAATTATATTTATATTCTAATCTGATGAAATGATATATATGCATACTGTAGTGTAGAAGAATACGAGTGCGGACAATCGAATGTATTTGAATACGAAATTACAAAGCATCACAATAAAACAATGATGGATAGTGGCTAGCAGTGGAATCCAGGACGCGCTTTTCGTCCTATTTTAGACTGAATACAATACCAAGTGAATTTAAATTCACCCCATCGCACAAACAAGTGGCTATCAGGACTCAGTAGTTGAGTGGATGACGCGATGGCGTTTGAGGCGAATAGTACTGGGTTCAAGTCCCAAAGTGAACATCAACTCTGAGAGACAGGTACATCCAGCTGACGAGTCCCGAATAGGATGAAACGCGCGTCCTGGATTCCACTGCTAGCCACTATCCATCATTGCTTACAAAAAGCTTGTGAATTAACGCAATATTGAGGCGTACGCACAGTATTCACATATGCCAATAACAGACTGATCATTTGCAGTCTTAACCCTCCATGGGAAGATATAAGCCAGACAATACCAAGTGCATCTCAATAAAATCTGAGAATCATATGGTAAATAAGTAATTTTCAAAATATCAATCCATCGTTTCAAATTTGACCGTTGTTTTTGTAAATATCAGTCCGATGTCTCATAGTTCATTGTTCATGTATTTTCATATCAATTGCGTTCCGTTACCGTTCTTTCCTTATCGATCTTCTGCTGAAATACATTCTATGCCTGACCATCGTTATATACCACTTATATGGATATAAATAACACACACCATAATACTATTATTACAATTCTTCTATTCAACTGATGGTTTAGAATAAAATTCTCTTAAATAGGAATGGGTTTTGTGGAGAGTTTTAGAAATTTCACAGGTTGAAATCATGAGTCAGTTGAAGCTAGACCACCATTGAAAGCCTGGAAGCACTGGACGGCCGTTTCGTCCTGGTATGGAACTCCTCAGCAGTGCGCATCCACGATCCCGCACCACGCGGGGCTCGAACCCAGGACCTACTAGCTTCGCGCGCGATCACTTAAAATCAGTTGAAAACAAAGCTGTTTAAAAAAAATATCTAGGGAGAATCGATTAAGTGTTTAGTTTCAGTTTAATATATACTTTCGAATTAAGAATTCTTAATTCTATATAGGATCAAAGTGAAAAACTTTCAATTCTATATTAATCCCTGAAAAAGATCTCTATTATATTAAAACACAATTATATTAACCAATATAGTTATTTTTATAGATTCCAATGATGTTTTCGTTTCTGTGAACTTTGCATTATACTTCAGGAACTCATTGAATGCCTTCAATGCAATAGGTTAATCACAAGATTTTAATCACTGAAAAATGCCCATTATATTCAAACACAATTATATAAACATATAATAATTCTATATTATTAGCCATGATGTTAACTATATAGTTAGAATATCAATATTTTGTTAGAAACAGGAATGTTCACTGGGAAATCAATCGATAATTCAGATTGAAGCAAATCAATCTTGTCATTGGGAATAAATATTGTTCAGTGAATAAAACACTAAAGATAATGAAATAATGCCTTATTATTTAATGTATGATTTAATTCATTGAAGGATTGAACTTTAAAAGTATTAATTTCACAATGAATATAAAAATTCGACGAAAACCGCAGAACTGTTCAACTTATGACTTTAATTACATTATATGTGTTAAGAAATCTTATCAGATGATTCTCCCGAGAGTGGGGAGAGTCCGCTCTCCCTCTCGAAATACTCTCACACGGCCACGCGTATATAGCCTCTGCCAGGGAAGTCCTACTCACTGCCTTCTCGTGGCGGGGGTGTTGTTTACGAAAATGAGAGGACGAAAAGCGAATGTCCGGCGCTTTAACCGGATTCCAAATCAATGGTGCACATGGGCTCCAGTATCCTGCGGGAACAAATGGCGAATGAACCAATTGTTGGTCACCGGCTTCCATGAGACTGCATCTCCTTACGATGCTCCACTGCCTTGTGGATCAGACCTTTGGGTTGAAGGCTCGGGGTGTGGCCCCCTAAGAAAACCACCTGCTTCGGTTTGGGCACCCGGGCAGTATCACAGCCCTCACACATATCGGATGAGATTTGTGTGGCGCATATGTATTTGGTGCCTCTTTGTACCATTATTTATGTGTTTAAATAAATAAATAAATAAATATGAATATATAGTTACTGAACTGATTATCCATTAATTTTTAACCTACTAACTAGGCAGTAATATAAAATCTATCCATGGTTTACATCATATGCTGATCTTAGAAAATGATTGAAAATTGATTAACATGCAACATCTGTTTCTTTTTAGTATGATATTTCTCAGTAGCAGTACACTTCTATAACCCTATCAGTATGGAATCCAAAATCATCGTGACTACCAATGAGTACCTAACTATCAAACCATTTAATCGATATAACATGGCTTGAGTGTTTATTTTCAATCAATGGACGATTTAACGCAACAGTCACCGATAATGTTCAGTGGGTAACTGGTACACACTTGATATGGATGAACTACACTGACCAAGACTTCTCACTAGAACGGCTGAAATTACCTTTCAAAATATATAAAAGCAAATCAATATTAAAAAATTAAAACAATAACATTTTAAAATTCTATGTAGAAAATATCAGTTGACCCTTGTGTATTTAAAGAGAAATATCATTTAATGAATGTAAATATATATCAACTTTACTGATTCCACCAAATCCAAATATGGTCAGGTTTATATTAGTAATATAACGAGATTTAACGGTAGTCTTACATTGACATATAACATTACAAATTTCTAATACTTTGATATTTAATATTCCATCGCAAGAATTTTTCTCAAAACGTTAGTTAAGTAATTCTTTACAAGCTATCTCTTATTGAATAATTGAAAATATTTAAACAAATAATTTATTAGTATCAGAGGGGGTTTTATGAATATTATAGTAATTTTAATACTTGAGATCATAAACCATTTGAATCTAGACTGCCATGGAAAACTTAAAAGCACTGGACGGCAGTTTCATCCTATTGTGGAAGTCCTCAACAGTGTGCATCCATGATAATGATTTGAGAGATTCGAAAGCAGGATTTGTCGGTCTCGCACTCAAACGTATAACCACTAGACCACTGAGCTGGCTAGCATCCAACAGTGTTAATGTTCAACTTCAAATAATCCACGAAATTGAGCGACACATCCACCATTGTCATCAGTGAGTTACTATCTCACAACAGACCCGGTTGAACCCCATAGGTCACTGTTTCTCATTAGAACTCCCGGGAATATCTCTAGTGAGCATATGTTGATTCATATCAGAAGAGTTTTGTGGATATTATAGTAATTTCAATAGTTGAAATCATGAGTCATGGCCGTCCAGTGCTTCCAGGTTTTCCATGATGATCTAGCTTCAACTGACTTATACTCTCAACTAATGAAAAAAATTCTTCACTTATAAACTTCTAATTTATTCAATATGCTATCAAATTAGATAAGAGAAAATAAAAGAGATTTAATTTTATAAAATTATGTAATCAGATGATTTATTAGTTTTAAATAAACATTAATGTCATGATTAATTGTGTTTTCCGCAACCACAACAAAAAAAGAGAAAACAACTGAGAGAAATCAGAGTTTCTCTTCTTCCCTCCCCCCCCCAAAAAAAATCGCTAAAAACAGTTTCCATTTAAATATTGATTAAATTATTTACTTTTATTCCCTCTTCATATTTCTATTTTCCCATGAAAACAATGTATATAATTTGTAGTATTTTTTGTAGATGAAAATCAGATAACAAAGTGTATAGGATTATATTTATTGACTGATTGAAGGAAACAAATGAATTATGTTCATTATAAATGAATATTGAAAGTTTTCATTAGATAGGGACATCAATAATTCTTCAATGAACTGATGAGTAATACATTTCCATTGATCATTTAAATCTTCTCATTGATGTTTAGGATTGCATTTAATAAGTCATTTTTCTTTGGTAAATGTACATCTATTCCAGACTGCTTTGATATTGCCATTAATTTGAAAATGCTTTAAAATAGATATAGATATTAGCTAGTAATGGAATTCAAGATATATGTTTAATTTACGAAATCAATAATTTGAGTAACTTACTTACTTAATTTCGCTTATTACTCCCAATGGAGTATAGGCCGCCAACCAGCATTCTCCAACTCACTCTGTTCTGGAACTTCCTTTCTAGTTCTATTCAATCTTTGTTTATTTCTTCTCATTTCTATCTTCACTTCTCGCCGTAATGTGTTCTTTGGTCATGCTCTTTCCCTTTGGCCTTGAGAATTCCATATGAGGGCTTGCCTCGCACCGCAGTTGGGTGCTTTCCTCAATATGTGTTCTATCCACTTCCAGCGCCTCTTCCTGATTTCTTCCTCCACTGGGACCTGGTTTGTTCTCTCCCACAGTAAGTTGTTGCTGATAGTATCTGGCCGAAGTATTATATGTAGACAACTGTTAATAGACACTTTTGTCTTCCGTATGATGGCTTTCGTAGTTCT